GCTGTTACAAACTGGTATTTTCGTCCCTTTAAATGCCAGAATACCCACAATATTTGTAAAATGATAAAGTGCAAAATAGTGCTCTTTTTAAAACTTCTTAAAAGAACTGGAAGGCCACAGAAAAACACTAAAGATGCATAAAAAGAAAACACTGTAAATAGCTTACATATAGTAAACCAGGACTGTCCAAGAATGATAGTTTTTAAGTATATGTTTTTTTAATCCTTTTCAAGACCATAAAATCCCATATCCAAAGTAAAATGTCACCTTCAGATCCTTCTTTTGACTACAATAAAAACTGGTCGGAATGCCACAAGCCCCAAAACTCATTGTTACCTATTTATTCCACAAACACTCGATGAATAAAGAGACATACCACACTTGCGTCTGTTATTATAAGCTATTGTAATATAGCAACAAAAACACCTATCTTGGTTTTTCAGGTTCTCAACTTTGCCACTTGTTAACTAGATGACTTATCCATGAGGAAGCCTGAACTCAGAAAAACTAAGTGACCACCTTTTGAAAGCAATTTCAATGAGAATAAAAAGGAAAACTCTATGTGATGACAAGTTATTCTTTGGAGTATATGCTGTCACTCTACAACAATGCGAAATATGTTTACATTTTAGAGAAGAAAAAGCCAAGAAGATAAAGATAGCTTAAGAGGTCCACACTAGCCAGAGAAGAGATCTTGCACATTGTCTCACTCCTATACCTATGATACTTCCCAAATACCTGGTGATGTCTCCTACCCAGTTTGTGAAACTTAAGAATCAAAACAGTATGAGTACATTTAACAGTTTGTAACAGCCTCCATTACATCGTTTTGGCAATATTACTTTAATATTCTCAAATATAATATAGTTCAAAAATGTCTTGAAGTACATCATATCCATTTTGTTATTCAAGTTGAAAATACAATTATATGAAAAAACTCAATTCATAGTTTAGGCTCCAAAAAATTATAAACTAAACTAACTGAAAAACTTAATAGGGGCACAGCACTTTTTAGTCCTGTTTGAAAAACAAGATTCAAAATCATTGGTTCTCTGAGCCTCAATTTTAAATCTTTCAATTTCCAATATGTATCTAGCACTCCAAAATACAAACGAGAACACAATGAAACACACAAACTGCTAATTTTCACAGAAGTCTTTGATAAATGTAAAGATGGGGTTTTTAAAAAATACTCATCAGTACAATAGATTATTTGGCAATAAAAGGAATGAATTAATAATATATATTACAACATGGATGAACCTTGAAAACATTAGGCTAAGTGAAATAAGTCAGTCACAAAGGCCACATATTATATAATTCCATTCATGTGAAATGTCCAAAATACACAAATCCATAGATACAGAAATTTCAATTAGTGGGTGTCTGGGACTGGGGGAAGGAATCGGAAGGTAAATGGAAAGTAACCACAAGTAAGTAAAAGCTTTCTTTTGGGGATGAATTTGTTCTAAAATTAGACTATGGTAATGGTTGCATGATTTTGTAAATACATTAAAATCCACTGAATTGTATAAACTGGTGAACTTTATAATATACAAATGACATCTCAGTAAAGCTGTTTTGAAAAATAATCAATTAGATCAGCTCACATCTTTGGCCCTCAGAAGTATGGAGTAGTGGTTAAAAGCACTGATGGAGCCATACTGCTAGCCTCTATTACTTACTAACTGTGCAATCACGGACAAGTAAGTAGCCTCTCTGGGCTACCTCTGAAAAATGCAGACGATACTGCTTACTTCACAGGATGAAGTTAGCTAACATATGTAAAGCACTCAAATCACCATCTGGCTTTTATTAGATGTTATATGAGTTATTTTTATTAATGAGCCTTTTTCAAGAGAGGAGGGGAGAAATCTTCCCTTACAGTTGAACCAGAAATGAATGGAAAATTATCCTTAATAATAGTTACTTTTCAAATCTAGGATGTACATGAATAACGAAGTAGATACCACAAAAATCTAGGGGAAATACAATATGTAATTTATTGTTTCTCAATTTATAAACATTATCTTGTCTTAGTTTTAATCTACTTTGTAATCCTAGTTTATTCCTTCAAGCAGCCAATTTCATAAAATAACATTAAAAACAAACATATAATTTAAACCAATCTGATGTAATAATCCCAACATATCCAATTCTTTTAATTCACTGAGTTAAAGAATTGTAATTATCAGAATTTCATTTAGTTTTATTAGAGTACTTTAGAGTGATAAAAGTCAATGTGATAAAAGATGAAAAATTTTATTAATAAACAATTACAGACATTTAATTTACTTTTATTTTTTGTCAAGTATGGAATAGGTAATAAGCTAGTCATATTATTTTATAAAAGAATCGAAATGCAATAAATTTCTATTATGAAGAAAATGAAGGTCTCTGCTTATTACATGGAGTATCCATTATAAAACTTTAAATGAAATTATAGATGATACATCAGAACAATCTTTCAGATATTCAGCAGTTTATATACTCAGTACCTCAAATAGAAGACCTCTAGAACTACTATAGGATTCATACCATGCAACAGATTTAAAACAAATGCCAAGAAATGTCACAGATTTTATAAGCCATCCAACCAGACCAGTTTGAAAGTCTGGAGCTGTAGCAGCCCAGCAGGAGACTAATTTTGGAATATGAAGCAAATTCATAAAAAAATAAAAAATAAATAAAAAAACTAAAAGTCCGTTGACTAGTAACAAAGAGGAACTCTCTCTCCTGGCAAACACGTTTTATCCCCAGAAATAAACAATTGTCACCACATATGTTTTATAACTTAGAGTGTTTTTTTGGTTACAGTATATATGCATTATACTTTTAGAATCTGAGGGAAATGCTATGAATTTCCACTCCTGTCGGATGACACTTTATATTTTAGTCCTTCCTTGATGATTCTCTGGTTCATGTTATGAAAAATAGTAAAATAATAACAGCTACTTACATTTAGGGAGAACCTCCCATGCATCAAGTACCATTCCAGGTACTTTTATCAACCTTTTCTATAATATGGAGCATCATTTAAAAAATCACTTTCAAGTGCCTCCCAGAGAATATGCCCCAATGCAAGAATGGCAGCAGAGAAGTGGTCTCCTCCAAGATTAGTGACTGTCATCAAGATTTAAGAGTTGCCATAAAAACTTCTGCTGAAGACCCCTTCTGAGCACCAAGGCCACAATCTCCTACAAGTTTTGCTTCATTAATCCCCTGACCTCAGTCTACCACTTTAGTCTTGTCTGTAGTCCTTAACCCCTTTATCACCTGGAAAGGACAGAGAATGTGAGACTGTTTAAATTTCAGCTACTACTCAAATGAACCACAGAAATGGCCTGATGTGTGTATATATATGTAATTTCACATAAATGAAGGTCTATCATTCTGCCATTCCTATTCGCACAATCATCCATTCTTTTCTTGGATTTCAAAGTAATCAGAGTTAAAACCCCAAAGGCCACATTTCAGGATATTCTTGATCTCATGGGCTTAGGACATGGTGAAATGGGCCTTTTTCATGAGTTATCTATCTCACCTTGATCCCTCTGCCTTGTAATACAGTGGGAAAAAAAAAAAAGATTGACATTACACTTTGGAAAACTGCCAAATCCAGGTATAAATCATGAGAAAAATATGTAAAGAATGGAGAAAAAGAGAGTAATAACTACACAAAGCAGCAAGAGATTACAACAAATGAGTAAAAAAAAAAAAAAAATTAGCTGAATGTCCTAATAGTCATGGAGGGCACGTATTACGAGATTTCACTATATATTAATATTTGGTATACCTGCTTGAAAGGTTCAAATGAAAAAAGTAGTTCCTTAACCAAATGGAAAATCCTACTCCTCCTACAGTCCTACAGTCTGCTGCAGGACACTAAAAGTAAAACTGGGAAATACTTGCATATTTTTAACTAAAAAGACTAATGATAGAAAAGACAGAAGTGAAGACGTCACAGACATTTATAAGGAGATTTGTAAATGTACACAGTACTTGACATTATGTTTATCCTCTAACTCAAAAGAGCAATCCTCAAACAAATAGAACAAAGCAAGGAAAATCTTTTCAGAATTTAAGATTTACTTGTATAACATCTCCGCCCAGGTGTGCAATATATAACCACTCCACTGGAGTATAAAAATGTTTGAGAATCACAGGACTAATAGTTCATTTAGCAATTATTAAGCAACTGCTGGAGGCCTTGTTGAACAAAAGGATAACAGAACAGACCCCATCCTCAGGAAACAACAGCTCAATACTGTCAATGGGCGTAAGTATATCCCACCAGCTCTACTATAAGTGAGACTGTAATATATATGATCACAGTCTGTGTAAGTTTCATCAGAACAAATTGCTTTTCTTGTGAAAATATTAAACAATTCAATGACTAGATAACTGTTTTTTCACTGCTTTTGGCTTCTTACAAGTCTATTTCTATTACTAATGAAGCCACAATGTTTTCTGCTTGCATTGTACCTGTCTCTCTCTTTCTTAGCTCAAGAAATTCTGCCAATTTTAACTAGTTTGTTTCTTAGGATAATATAACATTTCTCTCATTAAAAATTTCAAAATGTTGTCTAATACTACATCTTATTTCACCAAATTACACTTTTTTGAAAAGTAATTTTAATTTATGTATTCTATTTTTCCTTTATTCAGTGCTTATCATTTCTAATTGTATTTCTAAACAAGAACAAAAAATCTATCAAGTATTCTACAATTAGATGTAAAACATCTGGAAATAGTTGTCAGGGACTACCTCAACAAGCCTGGTACCAAAAGTCTAAAAGTATTTTAACCATCTTACAAACATAAAAGCAGCTGTGGCAGAAGGTTAATAGGAACTGACCTGTTCTTGTATAAATGTCTATCTAAAAGGCTACTTTTCTCAATACCTGGTTTTTGCTTACTTAATTGGTTCAGCTCTTTAAAAAGGTGGGTTTCAGGCAATATACTATCAACTTCAGTCAGTTACACAAGACACAACTAACCTTTTGTTCCGCCTGCAGTTGGTCACATCTTTCCTTCTCATGGTTAAGTTCTCTTTCCATTTTCCCAACTTGTTCTCGAAGTTGTGCTGTTTCTTTTTCCAGAACGGCAATTAACTTTAACAGTTCTTCTTTTTCTTTCATGGTTTTCTCAATTTTCAACTATAAAGCAAAAAACTCAAATTAAATAGTTTTTTGCTTAATCCTAAAATATGTTATTACAAATTTAGTTTTCCATTTCCAAAAAAAATAGTGAAGATATTCACAGAAAGAACTTTTACATTCTACCTACTTAGACTTCAGTTAGAAAAATTCAACAATCATAAATTTAAACCTTCTTTTGGTTGAGCAAAGAAGAAAATATTAAAAGAAGATATAAAATGAGAGAACTGTATTATGAAGTTGGCTGCTAATCATTTTTGAGATCAAAACTAAAAAAAAAAAGGCATATTAATTTTTCCGTTAATTACAGGGCTTTCTGATCCACAGTAATAATCAGATACTCCGAGAGGAAAAGTTATACCTCTTCTGGAATGCAAACCTATAGGAAATCTTTGAATCTATCACAAACTTATATGGTATATATGGCCTTCATCTATGGAATTACCATTGAAAGTGCTGATTCTTTAAGACATCAAGAAATTTATAGGTTCTATATATAAAATGGCCTCTACTTGGCTAAATTAAAACACTCTTCATAAGTAAAAATACAAATTTTAGGACAAACATGCAGACTGTAACAATATATTAACAATATACCTGATTCTTACAGGAACAGCCAATAGTTCAGGAAAATATGAACTTCAATATTCTAAAATATTACTAAATTAATGGTCATAAGATAGTAAAACAAAGTTTAATATTTCTCTTACAGGAAGAATGAAGACTCAGAGGGAAGACTTAACAAAGGTGGTATTATACATTTAACTGGTAAAATGTTTTTCCTCCATATACCCTAAATTGGTTTTCCAGGGTCATGGGATTATGAAATCAAACTGATTAAATTCTAAAATGGCTCTTATCAAAGTTGAATAGCTGCAAACTTTCTGAGTGACTCTTCTACCTGTTCCAACAAATCAAACCAAAATGCCAGGAAAAGTTTATTTATTCAATCATTTAATTTCTTTTATATGTTATCTATTTTTTTAAAATGATTTGAAGTAGATTGCAATAAATGGCATTCAATAAAGTCAACAGAAAATTAGAACCAGGCAAGTATATTACCCATAAAGGTTAGTATCATTATTAATTTGGCATTAAATCTGGCTCAAAACTATCTGGCAGCTTAAAAATAAAGATATATCTTGACAAAGCGCAACACAGACTTTATAAAAGAATCACCTTTTCCAGTGATTTATTTAATTCACATATACTTTCTCGAGTTCACTAAAGCTTAAGTAGACATTTTAGAAGAATTCAAATTAGATAAGAACGTATATGTCTCATTTCTTGCCTCAATTTTGTATTTTGAAATATGTTAAGAATACAAAATAGTTAAAATTTTACAATGATCATCCAAACATCCATCACCTAAATTCACTAATTATTAATATCTTGCCATGTTTATTTTATCTCTCTTTATATACTTAAGCTTATGTATCCTTTTTTCTTCTAAGCCATTTGAAATGAAATTGCAGACACTTCACTCCTAAATACTTCAGAGCAAGCATCACCTAATAAGGACAGTGGCTTTAAATCACCACTATTATTATAGCTAAGAATATTAAGAATAATTTTATATTCCCCAATAGGCCATAGTCAAATACCCCTCACTAGCCCCCCAATTTTTTTTAAAATCTAGGATATAATCAAGGTCCACACATGGCAAAATTATGTCTCATTAATCACTTTTAATGTCAACAGGGCCCCAGATAATGTCTCACATTTGTACTAATTTTGTGCAGTTTTAGATAAAACAAAAACTTTAATGAATGTGGGGATTTTAAAGACTCATCAAAATATTGGTTAAAAAAATTTAATCTTAGAAATACTTAAGAAACAGCAATTTTCGTTTTCTTTATAAAGTACCCTTTGCAAAGTAGGAAGGAGTGAAACAGAATGTGGTATGTCTCAATCTACTTGAAGAAAAAGTACAACATAGATGTGAATGCCAAAATGCCCATCACTTTTCTGTTGGAGGCCCTGAAATGAGGGTGGTCTAATAAGTATTCAAAAAGCTACAGTATAAATACTAACTGCATTCTTAAGATCTGGGCTTGTTTCAGCATCTTTGACTGGCATTCAAATACAAAGCTAAAAACCTTGATCATCAGGCAGTTGCACCACAAAATGTTTTAGTCACCCTATAAAAGTTACATTTCTTTAAGATAAGAGAGGAATTTCTGGAAAGGGGAAGGAAAGATATGAAAGAATTCACAATAAAAAATGATTGGTTCCTCCTAACCTAGTTTGACTGTCTAATAAAAGTATTATATCTGTAGCCTCTTGTCTTTTTGCTCCAGTCTCAGTTCTTTGAGGTAAATAAAAGTAAAATCAAAGGCATTAAATATTTACATGTTAAAAAAATCTATCCAACTATAAAAAAAAAAGCAATGGCTGCAATAGAAGAAATATGAATATAAATTAGCCAAAAATGTATAATGAACCAATTTGAGAAGCTATTTTTCTTACTATTATAATAGAGGGCACTATATATAATTAATCACAATAACTCAAATATAGCTGTAGTTTTTTAGGTATAGGATAAAGATACTGAAAAATGTGATCTTAAAATGAGAAAAGAATGTCACTCTATTTTCTCTGTCAATGACTACTAAAAATTAATACATAAGGCATTATTAGACCATCTACACAGTAAATTTATATTGAAGCCATTATCATGACTCCATAATATTATATTTACAAAAACAGTAAATAGTAAATAGCTTTTTAAATTTTCTTTTTAAATTATGGTTAATCTAGGCTTATCCATTTCATCAGAAGTACAACAACAGGAATCATTCTAAAAATGTTCAATCTAAATTAAGAGACTGGGAAGCTCTCCTGCTTCACTGCCACACTTTAGAAAGAGAATGCTCATGGTAGTGAAACCAAGTTCACATCCTTACAGTTAGATTTACTGATTTATACCATTATCCCAAGCAGCTTCATCCCCAAATTGGTAACATTCTACAATGAAATGATTACGCCACCACAAAAAGTTAGGCAAAGGAACGTAAAGAAAGCTTTAGACCTAAACTCTCCCAACTGGTACTTACTGCACTATCTACTATGCACAAAATAAGGACAGGCCCTAGGGACAGTCCCTGCCACAGCGGAACCAACAGCATAATTATGGCCGAAAGATTTTTTAAGCATTTCAAAAAAGACACTCTATTTTAGTTAAAAAGCATTGGATTTTTTTTTTTTTGAGACGGAGTCTCGCTCTGTCACCCAGGCTCGAGTGCAGTGGCGCGATCTCGGCTCACTGCAACCTCCGCCTCCCGGGTTCGGGCCATTACCCTGCCTCATCTTCCCGAGTAGCTGGAATACAGGCGCCCGCCACAACGCCTGGCTAATTTTTTGCATTTTTAGTAGAGACAGAGTTTCACCATGTTAGCCCGGATGGTCTCGATCTCCTGACATCGTGATCCTCCCACCTCGGCCTCCCAGAGTGCTGGGATTACAGGCGTGAGCCACTGCATCAAGTTAAAGCATTCGATCTTTGTGGCAACTCTCACGTAACCTTAAAGTTCTTAAAATGCCAACCGACATGAGCTCTGTTCTTAAAGTTATCAGTGAATCACTATCTCACTGTGAACACCAACCTCAAGAAGGCCTGCTTTTGTGGTCACCACTAACATGTCAGAATTTCCTTCATCTTCCATAGTAAGCAGCTCTTCAACTGGAGAAGAAGCTCGAAACTGGAAAGGTGTACTTGCTCCACGAATTTCACCCTTATGGGTAACATAACAGAACTGATAAAATTCTCCATCATCATTTGGAAGGTAATATCCTAAGAGGAAGTTAACAAACAAAATTATTAAACTTCCTATTATAAAATTCATGTTATTTCAATCTAACAATACTTGCCGTATCTCATTCCGCACACTGTTCTTGGCACGTATCTGGGATATGTCCTTTCTCCTTTCACAAATTATCAAAACTAGACTCTTCCTTCCTCCTCAAAGTTAAAATTTTTCTTCTCTTAGGTTTAAGCTTATATTCCCAGAATATCCTTTCCCCTTGTATCTTCTAGGGCAAAACGCACTCATCTGGGAGAAGCAAGTATATACTTTACAATGGGAAACAGGCTGGAGGAGGAGCAAGGGAAGAACCAATATAAAAATCTACTGAGGACTGGGAGTGGGGATGGGAATATGTCATTTAAAGAAATCTTCCCTCCAATTTGACATTCATTACATGTAAATGAGAGACATTAACTAAAGGAATATGCTGCACATGTGAACTATATGAAGGCAGAAAAGAAGATGAGGTCTGCTAGTGCAGTATGGTAAAAATAAGCTTTAGAACCCAGTGCAGTGGCTCATGCCTGTAATCCCAGCACTTTGGGAGGCCAAGGTGGACAGGTCACTTGAGCCAGGAGTTCCAGACCAGCCCGGCCAACATGGTGAAACCCTGTCACTACAAAAAATACAAAAATTTGCCAGGTGTGGTGGCATGTGCCTGTAGTCCCAGCTAGTAGGGAGGCTGAAGTGAGAGGATCGCTTGAGCCCAGGAGGTCAAGACTGCAATGACCCATGATGGTGCCACTGAACTCAAGCCTGGGTGACAAAGTGAGACCCTGTCTCAAAAAAAAAAAGCTTTAGAACCCCACAGCTCTATTCAGAATTCCAGCTCTACCACTATTATTTACTTAACCTCCCTGAGCTACAGGCTCTTAATCTGTTAAAAAAAAAAAAAAACCAGGGGTGGTGGCTCATGCCTGTAATCCCAGCACTTCGGGAAGCTGAGGCGGGTGGATCACCTGAGGTTGGGAGTTTCAGACCAGCCTGACCAACATGGAGAAATCCCAACTCTACTAAAAATATAAAATTAGCCAGGAGTGGTGGCGCATGCCTATAATTCTAGTTACTCCGGTGACTGAGGTAGGAGAATCGCTTGAACCTGTGAGGCGGAGGTTGCAGTGAGCCAAGATCGCACCTCTGCACTCTAGCCTGGGCAACAAGAGCAAAACTCCATCTCAAAAAAAAAATTAAAGAAAAAAAAAAGGCTATCTGTCTCAGAGATCCAAAATATTAACAAATAGATAATATATTTATAGTATCTAGAATAATATGTTCAATATTTGCCCCCTTCTTTCCTCAATTTGTTATTCCATTTTAAATTTTGCTGGATTATTGTAACTTAAAATTAATCTTTGCCTCCTCCTCAAAGCTCACACAGTACTTTTTACATTAAAAAATAAACATCTCCTATCGCTTCTCAGCCTTTTTGGCTAAGATCAAGTGTAAAAACTACATACCTCCACAGTAAACCTAACATTACTGGTTACTATGTACATGCCTTACAACTACATCAGACCTCTAAAACACCGTAGATACCACACACACACATTGAGGGCACATGTATGTGTATATATTTGTGCATATACATATTAAAAAATTCAGAATTCCCCACAATGACTTGTAAAAAGAAAACATTCAATAATTGTGAAACGAATAAACAAAGATAAATATCTTACCTTATTAATATCTACCCCAAAAGCTATAATCACTATGCTTGCTATTCTTTCATGCCTTGAAATTTTCAGCCTCAGTTATTATACCTACTTCGCCTGATTTCACTCTTTAAAAAACAGCTGGCTGTTCTCCTTAGAAACAGAGAGGACAGGCCGGGCACGGCGGCTCACGCCTATAATCCCAGCACTTTGGGAGGCTGGAGCGAGCGGATCACGAGGTCAGGAGATCCAGACCATCCGGGCTAACACAGTGAAACTCCGTCTCTACTAAAAATCCAAAAAAATTAGCTGGACGTTGTGGTGGGTGCCTGTAGTCCCAGCTACTCAGGATGCTGAGGCAGGAGAACGGCGTGAACATGGGAGGCAGAGGATGCAGTGAGCCGAGATCACATCGCTGCACTCGAGCCTGGGAGACACAGTGAGACAGGCTGTGTCTCCCAGAAACAGAGAGGAGAGGCAGACAATGTATCACATAAGATAAATTCTTGTGGCACTTTAAAGCGAAGTAGCAGTCCACAAAAAGAAATTAGGAGGGGTGGAGCATGTCAAAAAAAGTACAGGAGCCTACTTGAAAAGCTCCAATGGCTAAAGCTGAAACAATTAAGTAACAAAAAAAAATACGGTATTAGACTTTATTTCACAGAAGAAATTAATGATTCCATGGAGAAGACGACAATTCTTTCTAACATAATGATCAACTAATAAATATACAAGTAATGAACTTCATTAGACAAACACCGCAATAATCGTAGGCAAGATGCACGGAGGGATACTAAAATTAGTGGCTGAAAATATGAGGAGAAACAAGATATTTCCACAGTCTCAAAGTAGCTCCCTTTTAATATGCATTAATTACAAGGGGAAAAAATAACTTTATTTACAGTGGAGAAACCCAGAAGACACACTCTTAAGCAATCAAGATTATTATAACCAGTAATAAGATATATGGACATCACATACTCCCTGATAAAATGTACTGAGAAAGGTACAGTACTATTTCTATGGCATTCTTCCCAAAAATGCATAACTTCAATCTAATGATGAGAAAACAATGAGCAAAACCAAGATGAGAGACAAGCTACTACCAAAACAAACAACAACAACACAAAATGCTAACAGTACTTTACAAGAAAGTAAAGGTTATGAAAGATAAGGAGAAACCAAAGAGACTAAGACAACATGACAACTAAATGCAAAGAGGGATTAGGGACGGGATCTAAGAACAGAAAAAGAACAGTAATGGAAGCACTGGTGGAATCTGAGTAAGGCTTGTACTTTAGTCAATAGTACTATACCACTATTAAACTACTGTTTTCTTAAATAAATGTACCATGGTCATACAAGATGCTCACATGAGAGGAAGCTGGGCAAAGGGCATACAGAAATTCTGTGAACTACTTTTGCAAGTTTTCTTTACGTCTAAAATTACTTCAAAATACAAAGTTTAAATAAGCAAATATCATAGACATGTATCTGGCAATATACATTTTTAAAGTTTTTAAAAATCCACCCTCCTAATCTCTACTAAAAACTTACTAATTCATACCAACTTCCAAATAGCCACTGGGCTTACTTAAAAGCTTAACTAGAAAACAAATATACAGCATAATTAATCAGCTCTGGCATCAAGACATTAGAAACTCTACAAACTAGGTATTCAAGGTCTGATTCTTTTTTTTTGAGACGGAGTCTCACTCTGTCATCAGCTGAAGTGCAGTGCAGTGGCCTGATCTCGGCTCACCGCAACCTCCACCTCCCTGCTTCAAGCAATTCCCCTACCTCAGCCTCCCGAGTAGCTGGAATTAATAGGCGCACGCCACGACGACTGGCTAATTCTTTTGTATTTTTAGTGGAGACAGGGTTTCACAATGTTGGCAAGACTGGTCTCAGGTAATCCACCCACCTCCGCCTCCCAAAGTGCTGGGATTACAGGCGTGATCCACTGCGCCCGACCTCAAGGTCTGATTTTTTAAAAAACAAAAACTTTACTAAAATAAACTGCTAAAAAATATGGTTCAAAACCATTTGAGATAGACCTAATTATTCAGAGCTGCAATTTAAAGCTGCCTGGAAAAACTGTTGTCAGATAGATACTGAAAATAAAATCGGAAAAAGTAAAAACAAAATTTTCGAGTCGAATTTTACAGACTGTGCCTTTAGTGTTCAACAAGATTATAATAAATAAATAAGGGTTCATTTAGGAAAACAATCACGTTTAGGTACTGTTAGATGTTTCGGGTTTCGCATTCCAGGATTCTCATGACTCATCCACAAAATGAGCAAAGTGATTTGCATTATGCTTGAAAGCCCTTCTATAACTCTAATATTTGATGACTAAGCTTTCCCTGACTTCCTTACGCAACAAAAAAGTTCTAGGCAGGCAGATGCTTTTATTTCTGAATTTCAAAACTCAAAATAAAAATGAACTGTTGAATTTTCAGAAACTTGTAAAACATATTGCATTTATGCTTAGTGCCCATGAATTTTTGAGACAGGGTCTCACTCTGTCGCCCAGTCTGGAGTGAAGTGGTACAATCTCGGCTCACTGCAACCCCAGCCTCCTGGGCTCAAGTGATCCTCCCCACCTCAGCCTCTCAAGTAGCTGGGACTACAGGTGCACACCACCATGCCTGGCTAATTTTGGGGATATTTTTTGTAGAGATGAGGTTTCACCAAGTTGCCCAGGCTGGTCTCATATTCCTAGGCTCATGCAATCCATCCTCCTTGGCCTCATAAAATGCTAACATTACAAGCGTGAGCCACCACGTCTGGCCCAAAAATGTTTTTGAAGTATTAACAGAAATAAACTGGATGCTTTTTCTCTCTCTCTGTCTTTTAACCACTTTTAAACTTATTGCTAAGTCCCTAATAAACAAATGCAATAGTCACTATAACACATTAAATAACTTTTTTTGCAACAGATGGAGTCTCGCTATGTTGCCCACACTGGTCTCTAACTCCTGGTCACAAGCCATCTGCCTGCCTCAACCTCCCAAATAGCTGAGATTACAGGTGTGAGTCACCACTAAAAAAATAAGTTAACCTGGCAGTTAACTTATTTTTTAAGAGGAAACCAATCACAATAAAAATGATTAAAAATAAAACAACAGCTGTTAGGAGAGAAGTTTTAAACATAACAAAACTGGTTCCAATACACACCTAAATTTTATTATCTAAAAAAAGCTATTTTAAAAGATAAACTACATATATAATTTATAACATTTCCTTATCCAAAAACATCTATGAGGACCTAAATCATTGCCCATATTACACTACAAGTTTTATCCTCTGCATATTGGTTTCCTGGCACAGAGCATAAGGAAATATCTTTATATATGCAAACTCCATGCACTCACAGTGCCAATTAATGTTTAGACCAAACATATGCAAAATTCAGAATAAAGTGAAAAAAAGTTTTTAAACAAACAGACCACCAAAATCCAAAACATCAAATGCTGCTGAAATGTGGAGTAACAGGAACTCTCATCATTCATTGCAGGGAGGAATGTAAAATGGTACAAGCCACTTTGGAAGAGAGTTTCGCAGTTTCCTACAAAACTGAACCTATCATACAATTAATTAATTACATTCCCTGGTATTTACTCAATGAAATGAAAACTTACATCCACACAAAAACTTGCACAAGAGTGTTTATTGTAGCTTTATTAGTAAGTGCCAAACGTGGAAGCAACCAAGGTCTCCTTCAATAGATTAATAAACTATGATACATCCATTCAATAGAATATTAATCAGTAATAAAAGAAATGAGCTATTCAAACCACTAAAAGACATGAGGGAATTTAAACCACATGTTACTAAGTAAAAGAAGCCAATCTGAAAAGACTACATATCATATGATTCCAACTCTATGACATTTTACGGCAAACTGTGGGGACAGTAAAACATCACTGGTTGCCAGGGTTTTACGAGGAGGGAAAGAGAGATGAGTTGGTGGGACACAGGAGACTTTTAGGGGAGTGAAGTTATTGTTCTTTATGACACTGCAACAGTAGGTATATGTCTTCATACATTCATCAAAATCAACAGAATTTACATCACACAGTGAACCCTGATGTAAACTATGAACTCAGACAATAATAGTGTATTAATATTGGTCCATCAGTTGTAACAAATGGAGCACACAAGATGTTAAAATCAAGGAAAGCAGGGAAGGGTAGTGTAAGGGTCTGCAAGAGAACTACTTTTCATTCAATTTTTTCTGTAAACCTAAAACTGCTCCAAAAAAGTTTATTAATTTTTTTAAATTAAACCATCTGAAGCTGATTAATCTGAGCCTAGTTATTTTAGAAGGCTGCTCTGCACATGTCACCAAAATCCAAGTCAGATATTGCCTGATAAAAAACAGGACATTTTAACTTAGATAAGACCGTATCAATTAGATAATGTGTTTTTGTTTTTGTTTTTGTTTTGAGACGTAGTCTCGCTCTGCCGCCCAGGCTGGAGTGCAGTGGCCGGATCTCGGCTCACTGCAAGCTCCGCCTCCCGGGTTTACGTCATTCTCCTGCTTCAGTCTCCCGAGTAGCTGGGACTACAGGCGCCCGCCACCTCGCCCGGCTAGTTTTTTTGTATTTTTTAGTAGAGACGGGGTTTCACCGTGTTAGCCAGGATGGTCTCTATCTCCTGACCTCGTGATCCGCCCGTCTCGGCCTCCCAATCAATTAAATAATGTTAACAATTATTTGCTGAAAACTGTCTGCCATGCCACTGGTTCCCAAACTTCAGTAAAACATATTGCATTTATGCTTAGTGCCCATGAATTTTTGAGACAGGGTCTCACTCTGTCGCCCAGTCTGGAGTGCAGTGGTGCAATCTCGGCTCACTGCAAGCTCCGCCTCCCAGGTTCACGCCATTCTCCTGCCTCAGCCTCCCGAGTAGCTGGGACTACAGGCGCCCGCCACCCCTCGCCCGGCTAGTTTTTTTGTATTTTTTAGTAGAGACGGGGTTTCACCGTGTTAGCCAGGATGGTCTCGATCTCCTGACCTCGTGATCCGCCCGTCTCGGCCTCCCAATCAATTAAATAATGTTAACAATTATTTGCTGAAAACTGTCTGCCATGCCACTGGTTCCCAAACTTCAACATAACAGAATCACCTGTTGATCTTTCCAAAATTCTAAAACCCAGGCCATACCACAGACCAATAAAATCACAACATCTGGAGGTGGGACATAAATTTCTGCATGTCTTAAAGCACTCAGGTGATTCCAAATTACAGTTAAATTTGGAAATCACTATACCAAAGCTATGTGCATAGGCTCCAAGTTATGCTGCCCTTAAAACAGGCTGATGCTCTCTCTTAGCAACTGTAACAAAAGCTAAAACTCAAGGGAGGGATCACTATAAAAATTTTTTGGCCAGGTGTGGTGGCTCACGCCTGTAATCCCAGCACTTTCGGATGCCAAGGTGGGCGGATCACAAGGTCAGGAGATCGAGACCACCCTGGCTAACACGGTGAAACCCCATCTCTACTAAAAATACAAAAAAAATTAGCTGGGTGTGATGGCGGGCACCTGTAGTCCCAGATACTTGGGAGGCTGAGACAGGAGAATGGCGTGAACCTGGGAGGCAGAGCTTGCAGTGAGCTGAAATCGCGCCACTGCACTCCAGCCTGGGTGACACAGTGTGACTCCGGCTCAAACAAAAAAGATTTACACGATGGGAGTGAAGTTATTGTTCTTTATGATACTGCAACAGTAGGTATATGTCTTCATACATTCATCAAAATCAACAGAATTTACATCACACAGTGAACCCTGATGTAAACTATGAACTCAGACAATAATAGTGTATTAATATTGGTCCATCAGTTGTAACAAATGGAGCACACAAGATGTTAAAATCAAGGAAAGCAGGGAAGGGTAGTGTAAGGGTCTGCAAGAGAACTACTTTTCATTCAATTTTTTCTGTAAACCTAAAACTGCTCCAAAAAAGTTTATTAATTTTTTTAAATTAAACCATCTGAAGCTGATTAATCTGAGCCTAGTTATTTTAGAAGGCTGCTCTGCACATGTCACCAAAATCCAAGTCAGATATTGCCTGATAAAAAACAGGACATTTTAACTTAGATAAGACCGTATCAATTAGATAATGTGTTTTTGTTTTTGTTTTTGTTTTGAGACGTAGTCTCGCTCTGCCGCCCAGGCTGGAGTGCAGTGGCCGGATCTCGGCTCACTGCAAGCTCCGCCTCCCGGGTTTACGTCATTCTCCTGCTTCAGTCTCCCGAGTAGCTGGGACTACAGGCGCCCGCCACCTCGCCCGGCTAGTTTTTTTGTATTTTTTAGTAGAGAC